CCTTTCTAGTCTTCCGACCACTCAAAGCGCTTTTACACTACGTGCCACATTCACCCTTTCACACACATTCACTCAGTGATGGCAAAGCCCATCAAACAGAAACTAATTCATTCATACACATTCACACACAGATGGACAGCATCGGGAGCAATTTGAGGTTCAGTATCTTGCTCAAGGATGCTTTAACATGTGGCAGGAGGATCCGGAGATCGAACCAACAACCTTCCGATCAGGGGATGACCCGCTCTGCCTCTGAGCCACAGCCGCTGTGTTTGACCACTTTGTTCCTTTGTTTCAAAAGCTTGAACTGTACCTGCTGCTGTTTGTTACAGAAGTAAGTCAGATTGAAAAGTTCTTTAAATAGTTCAACAACACTATTAAAAAAAGGACAAATAAATGATCTGAACTTCTGATTGTAGCATATCCACACGATCCCAGCATGTAGAGCTATAAACTGCAAATGTCTAGTGAACTCTCTTTTGTGAGAATTGTTGGTCTTTGGTCCAGGGTCAGAGCCCAAATCAGGCTGTCTGTCTACTCTAAATCATTTAACATGAATTTGCAGTTTGAGCTATTAAAGACAGTTGATGGTATTTGTATCTTTTAAACATTTAAAAACATATTTTTTTACCTGTTCCAGATGCCCAAAATGATGATGTTGCTTCTCCACTTCTAGTCATGAAAATCAAGAGCCTTTGTTCTTTGATCAGAGATAAGTGGAGGATGGAGCTTCTTATCTTCTATCTTAATGGAGCTTATGTATGAGAAAGGGAAAGTTGAAAATCAAAGGAGCTAAGGGTAATAAAAAAAAAATGAACAGGAAATGACCTTCTGTTTAGGTCAGGTTTAAAGAAATGTTTTTAGAGTAAATGACCGGATATGAATGCAACACAGAGGAGACTGAAGAATGTGTCAAAATAAAATGCTAACAGAAATCACTGGTTTTAAAAATGCAGTCCAATGAGCACACATATAGCTTTGACAGGGGAAATTGTTAGTGTATTTCCAAACTAACTAACTAGAACCATATTGACTAATTAGTAGAACTTATTGTAAGTTGTAAGTAATTTCAAACTACTGCTCACTAGAATTGTCTCGGTCATACGGGGAATAATTATTGAGTGAATGAGGGAGTGATTTTAGATAGTCTGATCATAGTGTTTTCTACACAAACTTTATTCAGCAGCAGCAAATTCAAAGGTATTTTTGTGATTTTAAAGATGTTTACGGTCTGCCCTGGAAAGGTTAAATGATTTCCCAGGTCAAAAACAATGTTTATATCCTGACTGCACAGCCACTGAGACTGCTGTTATAGGTAGCATGAGAGGAAAGCAGAGCAGAGCCGACACTACATGTGTTTGCTCATGACCTTTAAAGATTCAGTGTGCTGTTGGTCAACAGAAAAAAAATACTATTTAGATTTTATCTGTGGTTTCTGTAGGGAATGTTACGTGACCAAATCCTGTAGAAACATCTTGAGGTCACTAATGGGGCTAGCTGCAGGAAGTGACGACTATGAGCTATTGTGACAATGTGTTCAATTCGCCATGGCTGTTCGTGTATCCTCATCTGTAAATAGGAACCAAATAACAGAACAGTTAACAGGACGCAGTGCGGTGCTCAGGATCAGGTGAGTTGTAACAAATAGATCTTGGATTGACAGGAATATAATGTTACTTGTACATATTTTAGTGTGAAATCTGTAGTTTTGCAGGAATGTACAGTACATCACACAGCTTGTCGTCATTGATATCTTTGCCTCAGACACACACACAAATTAATTAATTAATTAATTAGCAACAACAGATTTGATTACATTCTGGGTTCAATGTGGTGGTGCTCTGTAATGTCTGGTTTATGTTACCAAAAGCTCACTGGCTCAAACATACAGTTTATGTCTGTGAGATGTTACCTGTATACTGTACACCATGTAGCAGGTAGTGCCATAACATGTCACCATAATCTATCCATTTGTGTGGAACAATTAGGTAGGGATCACCAAAGCTTCACAGGGGGTTGTGAGGCCTTCTTGATTAAGGGATATAAGAAAACTTTAAAAAAAAAAAAATACACATTAGGCCTATATCTTAGCATTTTGTTCATTTCCGTGAAGAAAAATAAGTTAAATTGTTATTAAAACTTGAACACAAGTTATATTCACAGAGCCTGGTCCTTTACTGGAAAAGTTAAAGGACAATTCCGGCGCCGCAAATGAACCTGGGTTAATGACTTATTTACCGAGTTGGGTCTGTGTCTCTGAGATATGTTTGTTCATTCTAATCGGCAACGTGACCCGGTTTCTAGCCACAAACCGCGTATATGTACCGTATACGGCTAGTCAAGCCGGGGGCATGGAATACAGTGAAAAGGAAAGGCTATTTCATACCCACTAACAAGGCCTCAAAATAGCACCAGCGACCTTTACACAGTAGCATAATGAAGGGGTCCCTTACTTGTAACCGAGCATGAGGACTTTGTTAATGTGTCACAGACAGTCTATTAAAAAGGTAGTTTACAAAACAAGTAGCTCCAGCGGTAAACAGGGCGGGCGCCATGTTCTTGGGGGAACAACAGTCCGCGTGACCAGCCAACTCTCTTGAGATGTGACTTTGAAACACACCATCTCCCGTCAACCGCGTCGGCCTGTTGCCGGAAGAGAAGCACTGCGAACGCAACTGAACTTAGTGCTTCGCACA